AATCCATTCGTCAGTGGTGGGGCATCTTGGCTGTTTCCATAACTTGGCTATTGTGAATAGTGCCACAATAAACATGGGAGTGCAGGTGCCTCTGGAGTAACCTGTGTCACAGTCTTTTGGGTATATCCCCAAGAGTGGTATTGCTGGATCAAATGGTAGATCAATGTCTAGCTTTTTAAGTAGCCTCCAAATTTTTTTCCAGAGTGGTTTTACTAGTCTACATTCCCACCAACAGTGTAAGAGGGTTCCTTTTCCCTGCATCCTCGCCAACACCTGTTGGTGGTGGTGTTGCTGATGATGGCTATTCTAACAGGGGTGAGGTGGAATCTTAGTGTGGTTTTAATTTGCATTTCCTTTATTGCTAGAGATGGTGAGCATTTTTTCATGTGTTTTTTGGCCATTTGAATTTCTTCTTTTGAGAAAGTTCTGTTTAGTTCACTTGCCCATTTCTTTATTGGTTCATTAGTTTTGGGAGAATTTAGTTTTTTAAGTTCCCTATATATTCTGGTTATCAGTCCTTTGTCTGATGTATAATTGGCAAATATTTTCTCCCACTCTGTGGGTGTTCTCTTCAGTTTAGAGACCATTTCTTTTGATGAACAGAAGCTTTTTAGTTTTATGACGTCCCATTTATCTATGCTATCTCTTAGTTGCTGTGCTGCTGGGGTTTCGTTGAGAAAGTTCTTACCTATACCTACTAACTCCAGAGTATTTCCTACTCTTTCCTGTATCAACTTTAGAGTTTGTGGTCTGATATTAAGATCCTTGATCCATTTTGAGTTAATCTTGGTATAGGGTGATATACATGGATCTAGTTTCAGTTTTTTGCAGACTGCTAACCAGTTTTCCCAGCAGTTTTTGTTGAAGAGGCTGCTATTTCTCCATCGTATATTTTTAGCTCCTTTGTCAAAGACAAGTTGGTTATAGTTGTGTGGCTTCATATCTGGGTCCTCTATTCTGTTCCACTGGTCTTCATGTCTGTTTTTGTGCTAGTACCATGCTGTTTTTATTGTTATTGCTTTGTAATATAGTTTGAAGTCAGGTATTGTGATACCTCCCGCATTGTTCTTTTGAGTATTGCCTTGGCTATTCGTGGCCTCTTGTGTTTCCATATAAATTTAACAGTAGATTTTTCAATCTCTTTAATGAATGTCATTGGAATTTTGATGGGAATTGCATGAAACATGTAGATTACTTTTGGGAGTATCGACATTTTTACTATGTTGATTCTACCAATCCATGAGCATGGGAGATCTCTCCACTTTCTGTAGTCTTCCTCAGTCTCTTTCTTCAGAAGTGTATAGTTTTCCTTGCAGAGGTCTTTCACATCTTTTGTTAGGTTTATACCTAGGTATTTGATTTTTTTTGAGGCTATTGTAAATGGAATTGTTTTCATTCATTCTTTTTCAGTTTGCTCATTGTTAGTGTATAGAAATGCTAATGATTTTTCTATGTTGATTTTATATCCTGCTACCTTGCTATAGCTATTGATGATGTCTAGAAGCTTCTGAGTAGAGTTTTTTGGGTCTTTAAGGTATAGGATCATGTTGTCTGCAAATAGGGATATTTTGACAGTTTCTTTACCTATTTGTATTCCTTTTATTCCTTCTTCTTGCCTAATTGCTCTGGCTAGGAATTCCAGTACTATGTTGAATAGGAGTGGAGATAGTGGGCATCCTTGTCTGGTTCCTGATTTTAGAGGGAATGGTTTCAGTTTTTCTCCATTAAGTATAATGTTGGCTGTAGGTTTATCATATATAGCTTTTATAATGTTGAGGTACTTTCCTTCTATTCCTAGTTTTCTTAGAGCTTTTATCATGAAATGATGTTGGATCTTATCAAAGGCTTTTTCTGCATCTATTGAGATGATCAAGTGGTTTTTGTCTTTGCTTCTGTTAATGTGGTTTATTACATTTATTGATTTTCATATGTTGAACCACCCCTGCACAGATGACATGAATTTTAATGTAAAGTGTACTGTGTTCTAATTTTAAAGAATTAAAATCCTCTGTGGAGAAAAAACCTTTAAACCCCTCTTTGAAGAGTCTGCACAGATAATATCCAAGTGATATGGGCTCCAAGCCAAAAATCACAACAGACAGAAATCTCTAAAGGCACTAAGATTGAGAAGACCCACAAAGTCTGAAGGAGGCCCACAAAGACATAGACATTCAATTTATTATATAAAGAATATGTAAAAAATGTTGCTGTATTTTAAGAAATATAATGGGCTGGGTGTAGCTCAATGGGAGAGCTCTTTTCTAGCATGCTCGAGGCTGTGGGTTCAATCCCCAGCACTGCAAATAAATAAATAAGAAATAAAAAGTGTCCAAGAGCTGGGTCTGGGTTGCTCACACCTGTCAACCTAGTTACTCAGGAAGTAGAGATCAGGATAATCCAGGTTTCAAGCCAACTGGGGCAAATAGTCCCTGAGACTCTGTCTCAAAAATATCCAAAACAAGATAGGATTGGCAGTGTCTCAAGTAGTAGAGTGCCTGCCTAGAAAACATGAAGCCCTGAGTTCAAGCCCCAGTACTGCCAAAATTTTTTCTAAAAAGGTATCAAAGAATAGTGACCTAGAAGGTTTGACAAATAAACAAAGAGAATTTCTATTAAAAATCTATAATAATTTAGCTACTTGGGAGGCTGAGATTGGGAGGACCACAGATCCAGATCAACCCAGGAAAAAAAAGTTTATGAGATCCCTTTTCAATGGAAAAATGCTGGGCTTGATGGCATGTACCAGCCATCCTGGTGACAGAGGAGAAGCTTAAAATAGGAGGATTGTGGTCCAGGAGGCCAGGGCAAAAAGTGAGTCTTTATCTCCAAAATAACCAGAGTAAAAAGGCTTGGAAGCATGGCTCAAGCAGTAGGACCATGTTTCAGAACCACAAAGCCCTGAGTAACACCTCCCCCAAAATATGTATAATTTAAAAGTTAATCTCAATGAATGGATTAAATATTAGGTAAGACAGTGGGCTGAAAACTAGATCTGAAGAAGATATGCAAAGAAGTAGAAAATATGTAAGAGAGGTCAAGGGACAGTGAATGGAGTGGCACTGAGCACTCATCTACCTTGAGTTCCAGAAGTGAGAGAGAGAGATGGTATTTGAGGGAAATGACAGAGAGATACATTTCATTAAGAGATAACAAGAATGTTTAATATACACATGGAAAGATGCTGGACCTCATTAGTAATCAGTGAAATGGAAATTGTAAGCAACATGAGATACCATTTCACATCCACTAAATTGAAAAAAAATGAGTGTCTGACAGTACTGTTTAAGTAAAAAAGGGTAGCAGTGGAGTCTCTCATAAACAGCAGACAGATGTGTGAGGCAGTACAGTCATTGCATTTCCTAAAAATATTCTATAGAGAGTAAGGACCATGATATAAAATGAATCAACAGAATTAAGTTCACTTACTAACAAATATCTATGGAGCACCTCTATGAAGAATTAGAATATAAAATTCTTCATCCCTGCACCTAAGAACTTAGGATCTTGAGGGTCAGATACTGAAGCATAAAAAGAAAGAAGGATTCTTGTAAGAGCTCATCATGGTGGGATATAGCCGTGACAGTCAGGGAAGGCTTCCCTGAGGAAGCCATCACCAAGATAAACCAAGACAGAAGAGGAGTGAAGTGGAATAGAGTACTGGAGGTGGTCAGGGGCTTGCTTCATAGTAGATATGTGCAGATGCCCTGGTGTTTAAGACAATTTTCTTAGAAGACACTGAAAAAGTTCAGTGTGGTTGGAACAAAGTGGAGGTGACAGGGCTTGGGGAACAGGGTGGAGAAAACATGTTGGGAAAGTTTGGTGGCCATCAAACCAGCTGTGGCTTGAAACTGCCACAGGATAAAGGCCTTTTAAGCCCCAGGAAGGATTTGGGATTTCATATTAAAACAATGACATGTTTTAAGCAGGGAACTGAAATGATCAATGAAAAGAAGGGCATAAAAATGAAAGAAACAGATCATCAACTAATTATGAATGTAAACATTCCATTGGGAAGTGGAGTTAAAGATCTCTGTTACCTTACTCCTTGGTCACCTAGATGGGACTGCTCTAAGAGTGGCTGGATCCGTGTTAACAACAGCTGGGTGTATGTATACATGCACTTACACTGCCAGCTCAACTCTGCCTGGGACAGTCCTACCAGGATGGTCCCCAGGATGTGTTAATCCTCCCCTCCTCCCCTACAATAGCAAGTGAGGTTTATGACTAGCTGATGATTCACTGGGTGATGCTGGAAGCATAATTGAATACATTTTCCTGTTTTGTCGCCAGAGTAAATCATTTCTCCATTGTTGAGAGTAAAAACCAATTTGTCAGTAAATGAAGCAGATATGATTCAAAAGCGGAAGGACATCCAGAAGTACAGCAGAGTGGCTTTTCTGCAGTGCCTGCATTCTTCACAAAACAGTTTTCTCCGAAGGCCACATGCCCACTCTGAAGTTCACGGTGCTCCAGATTCACAGTGTCTGTGGCCATTCATAGCTCAGATTCCTTTATTTTTTAATGACTTTATTGAAGTATAATTGATACACAATAAATGGCCCATATTTAAAGCATGCAACTTGAAAAGTTTTTGACATAGTATAAACCTGCAAAACCATCACCACAATCAAAATAATGAAGTATTCATCACCCCCCAAATTTCTGCCATTCCCTGCCCCGCCCTTCCCCCACCCCCAAACAAGCTCCAGTTTAAATGGAACTACTACGCTAATCACAATTCTGGTGGATTTTTAGATAGACTGGGATTCCGTTTCCAAAAGGCCCTTTTTGATGTGTTATTTTAACCCAACTCACTGTAAATAGTCACCTTTCAAATGAAAGCTACTCTGCAGAATCTTTTTACTTTCTCAGTTTTAAGCTTTTGAGAACAGTATCCTTTTCATAAAAGTTCCAGAGTTGAGTTTGCTGCTGGGAAGGAAAAGCTGCAACCCAGGTCCTAGAGTTCACTCCACCAATCTCTGCTGTTTTACACCTTGCAGATCCCACTTGTAATGGAGAGGAAGGAGCTGTCATCACCAAGGGCACCTCTGTTCAGAGCATTGAACTTGTCCTCCCGCCGCATGCAAACCATCATGGAAACACATTTGGTGGTCAGATTATGGCTTGGATGGAGACGGTGGCTACTATTTCTGCAAGGTTCTTGGTTTTGACCTTTGGCGTGTGATTTTGGAACCAGTGGGAAGAACGTTAAGAAAAAGCTAAGATCTAGTTATTGGGCTAGTCAAGGAGTCAAGGAAAGAAATGAGGGAAATATTGCCTCTTATCCAAGAGGGGAAATTGTAAATCATTTACTTGTTTACCATAGGATTAATCAATCTATCCTTTTGTGTAAAGGTGAATTTTAAATTCTTGGCTCAAAAATAAAACTGAAATGAGTTCAATACTTTATTCTGAATTATGGGTATTGATCTTGCAACACTGCAACTCATTGCAATGAAAAGTTTATGACCAAACAGATGCAGAATAAAAATGGAAATTAAACTAGACACTTAGTTTAGTCACAAAACTTCTAAAACGAAATTTGTAATTAGCTTTGACTTTTGAAGGTGCTGGTTAAAATCATTATGCCCAAAGAATTAGCTGCAAAATAAGACGAGAGAGAGAGAAGTGTGGAACAGTACTTTAGTTGGGCGCTGATAACTCACGCCTGTAATCCTAGCTGCCCAGGAGGCAGATCGCAGGAGGATCAAGGTTTGAAGCAGCCCAGGCAAATAGTTTCAATGTGAGTCAACTCCCTGTATAGCTATCCTTATCTCAACCAGCAAAAACCCTTGTTCCTTCCTGTTATTGCTTATACTCTCTCTACAACAAAATTAGAAATAAGGGCAAAATAGTTTCTGCTGGGTATTGAGGGGGTGGGGGGGAGAGGGAGGGGGCGGAGTGGGTGGTAAGGGAGGGGGTGGGGGCAGGGGGGAGAAATGACCCAAGCCTTGTAAGCACATATGAATAATAAAAGAAAAAAAATCTTCAAAAAAAAAAAACAAAACAAAAAAATAGTTTGCAAGACACTATCTCGAAAAAAACCTTTGCAGAAAAGGGCTGGTGGAGTGGCTCAAGGTGTAGGCCCTGAGTTCAAGCCTTAAATATTCAAAGACTATTTTAAAATTCTACTCAATTTTTAAAAGGTTATTTTATTCTTAACTATGTAGGTAGTTGAATCATTTCAAGGAACATTGTATACAATGAAAATGCAAATGAATGGAAACAGCCTTTCTGACAATTTCTGTAATCACTGAAAATTAAGGTTTTTGTTTTTCCCAAATTAAAAGAACTTCGTTATTAGAGGTGTGACTTAAGGCATAGAGCACCTGCTTTGAAGGATGAATCTGTAAGTTCAAACCCCAGTTTCCCCAAAGAACTTCATTATGAATACACTTATAGTTACTACTACAGTTAGAAACCTGTAATTATCCTTTTTAAAAATTATGCACAAATAATAGAGCTTGTTTTAAAAATGAAATTGTCATTCTTAACGACAGTAAGGCATTTGAACTTGAACATGTTCTATTGTAAAGGCTTACAATACAATTAATGGCGGTGGAATCTGTTCCTTTAGTGTTAGCACAGTCCATAAGAGTAACTGAATGACTACAGTAAGAATCTAAAATGTAAAAAATTATGGAAGTAACATCTGAAATTAAATATTCTTTGTAACTATTTCAAAGTCCATAAATACAAAAGTTGTAAAATATGTATTGTGTAGAATTTCAGGTTTTGTGCAGTAATCCAAGTAATCTTTCTATGGGGTAAATCTTTTGCCTTTTGTGGATGAATTCAGTTAACTGTGAATTTAAGGAATGGAGCTGGTACGAATGGCACCAACTGACAGATTTCAATTGTGCCCCACTCTAAGAAGTGGCATGTCACCACTTCTTGGGACGGCAGCCATGAGCTGTCAAGACACATATGATCCTCAAATGAGAACAAAAATGGAACAAAAGCTTGCTCCATAAAGAACAAGCCAAAAGTGGAAGCACCAACATCCTGGTAAAGTCTCCACTGCCTGGGGACATGGTATTTCCCCAAATATGTGCAGGTCACATACAGAACCACTCTCAATGCATACAATCTACTGAAGCCAAAGAGTTGTTTATTTAGAAAACAGGTTGAGTCTTTGTCTATTACAACTGTTCAATGAATCAGAAATTCATGAACACACTTTGGAGAATGATCATTTCCTTCTCTCTTCTTCCCTGTGTTTCCTCAGCCGCCTGTGTCCGGTGCACCCCTTTCTGAAGTCTGTGGATATGTTTAAGTTCCGGGGACCATCTACAGTTGGTGACCGTCTTGTCTTCAGTGCCACTGTCAACAATACCTTTCAGACCAAGTAAAGCATGCTCTATGAGCCAGCTCTTAACTTGCATTTAGAAATTTTTTAGTTCAATCTGGAGGTGAATGTAAGGATTATTTAAAAATAGTCAAGTTCCTTTTAATATTTTGTTAACTTCACTAGATCCGTGACACACATTTTAGCCCTATAGTTTTGCTTGGGGCCTCCTCACACTGAACCAATTGTGATGTGTTGGGATTTTGTTCCTTTCAGACAAAAAGACATCCAAGAATTGCCTTATTGCCAGTGCTCACTTTTCTAAAAAGTCTATAGTAAGATTTATGCATAATTCTGGTAGCTGAAATTAAAATAATCTCCTCTTTAAAAAAGGAAGAAAAATAGCTGTATATGTACATCTAGCCACTTAACTGTCCTTTGTACAAAACCTTGGACTGCTTGAGGGTGTGTCACAGAGACTCTGAGCCAGTTAATCCTTTCAACTGACTTAGGGTAATGACTAAGGATTGTAGTACTAAAATATTAGAAATTGATTTTACTTTGTATGTTTTGAAGGATGATTTTAGAGTGGTAAAGGGTGTGGCAGCTGACCTAGGATAGTTCTCATTTATACCTGTTATCTTAATGTAATTATGAATTATCCCTTTCAGTCTCCAAAATGTTCCAATGGCCATATGGTCAACCATCATAATGGACCTGATATTTACCCATGAGTCCAAACTACTTCCCAGTTATTTTTATTATTCTCAATATATAATGAAAAGATTTCACTTATTATTTTTTGTTTTTAAATATAAAAAAGTATACCTATATTTCCTGTCTAATTTTAGTATTTGAGGCCCTTGAGTTATAGAACTATTGTTTTTAGGGAAGCAAACTTGACTTTGGCACAGTTTAATGTCTTTTTCCTTTTACCGAAATAGGTTCCTGAATGTATATTTGTATAAAGTCTCAAGTGGTCTTTCTCCCACTTGAAAATGGGAAAGTAAAGTAGGAATGTTCTTAGGGGTGTCACCAACCAATTCCATGACCTGAGAATGTATTTTAATAGTTGTGCAGATTGTGGATGACAGAGAAGGACAGCTAAGGCCCTCATTCTGTTGTTACTTGGAGGAGGTGGTGTTGACTGGCAAAGGAAGCCAACTGTGCCACCATGCTGTTTGCTGACTGTCCTGCATCATCTATCCTTGCAGTGTTGAAGTCGGAGTGCGCGTGGAGGCCTTTGACTGTCGGGAGTGGGCTGAGGGCCGAGGCCGTCACATCAACAGCGCGTTTCTCATTTATAATGCTGTTGATGATCGGGAAGAACTCATCACCTTTCCCAGAGTCAAACCCATTTCGAAGGTCAGTTATTACCACGTGAGCTTCAATAATTAGACCTGTGTGTACAGAGCTCCACTCAGATTTTCTTCCCACCATTCACAACTGCCATGACTCTTCCCTTTGCTTTTTTTCCTTTCTGCCTGACAAAGTAAAATGGGTTTTTTCTTTTTCTCTCTCTCCCCTCTCAAATCACTCTGATGATTTGTTGAAATGATGAAGATTCTGGACACCTCACCTCTATTCGGCCACACACTGATGTGGACATCATATGACCTTCTGCGTCCCCTTCCTAAGTCTTCTCTGTCCATCTTTACATCCAGTTCTGAATGCTGTGCCATTCATCACAACTGTATCTTTTCCTCTTCCAGGAGTTGCCTTATTAGCAATGCTTGCCTTTTCTAAAAATCCCATAGTGAGATATATGCATAAGTCTGGTAACAAATTAAAATAATCTCTACTTTAAAAAAGAAATGAAAATAGCTATAAAGGTCTCACATCTATCCATGCAACTACCCTTTGTGGATTCAACATGGAGGCTTACACTCTGGCCAGTCAATCTTTCAGCTGACTTAAGGAAAGGATGCTTAAGGATTGTAGCACTAAAATATTAGAAATTGATCGATTGTACTTTGTATTTTTTAAAGGATGATTTTCGACGGTATCAGGGAGCTATTGCACGCAAGAGAATTCGCCTAGGCAGGTAAGATTTTATGGACTCTCTTCTTACCTGAAAAATTACATATCAAAGAGCCTCTGTGTGGGTCTCTGCTCCTACACTGCACTAAAGGAGAAGGTCTGATGATTCCTGAAGGCTGACTATTGACTTGTGAAAATGGTTCTTCCTGATTTTTCTACCTGTAAGAGCAGCTCTTTAAAACTGCTGAATTCAGCTCAAGAAAGTGTCATGGTTACTGTTAAGTGCTAAATGCAAGGAAGAAAATTGTTACTTCTCATTTTTTCCAGGAAATATGTTATTTCCCACAAAGAAGAGGCTCCACTGTGTGTATACTGGGATACAAGCAAGCAGGTGACAGTTTTATGATTTGGAGTTCTTCATATAGAGATCACAACATTGATCACAAAAGTGGAAATCTCCTTGTTTAACAGATTCAGGTTGTACCTATACAGCTTATATGAAAAGGTGAATTATATCAACTCAACATTTCAAAATGAAACAAAACCAATGTATCATAACTGGTTACCTACCAGTCACTTCACTGCCTTGTTTGACTTTGGTAAATGTTCCCTAACTATAAACTCAGGATGCCCATCCGTCAGCTGTGTTTAAACAGTATAGAACCTTGTAATCTGGTGTCTTATAATTTGTGCTGAATGACATGTCTATGTACTTGAATGTTTTAGACAACAAAATGGTAGTCATTTGAATGTTTTTGAACATAAAATATAAAGGAAAACCCAAGTTCACTCTTACACATTGGTTGTAAGCCATAACCAATGACATGAAAGTTAATCTATTTGCTCAGGATAACAATTAAAATGATACTAACTTGGTAAACATACCTTGTCTGAATTCTAAATTAAAAGTTTGAAACAGAATATATATATTAGCTATAGCTTAGTTCTAAGCTCAACATTAACTTTGTCTCAACATATACCTTCTAGAACCGTGCCCATTTTCTGAGCAGGGAATATTTACTCCTATATATATGTACATATGTATTGAAGACACAGCCATTAAAATATTTGTATTTTAGGCATCCCTGAGTAATGACAATGTGGAGGCTCTCAAAAATCTGGCGGCCAAAAGTGGTTGGGAGATTACCAGTGCTTTGGAAAAGGTAGGAGGCGTCCAGGTGTTTGCATCACCACTGCTCCTCACAAATGAAAGTTAGCATGGTGGTAGTGGCTCTGTTGCTCCCACTGTTGCTTTGAAGAAGATAAAAAGTCTTGTGAGAAAACTTTCCAAGAGGTAAGCATCCTTCCAGCTCTGTCTCTCAACGCTGGTTGATTTGGAGTTCTGCAATATGCCCCCACACTCCTGCCTCCGAGCTGAGGTTCCACATCCCACCTCTCCCTCTATCCTCCACACCTCCACCTACCCAAATCCGAGAATCCTCCAGAAGCAGGACAAACGTTTCTCCACAAAGTCACTCCCAACTTAATGAACTTCTTCCTCTAGCAGCAACTTTGCTCATGACGTCTTTCAAACTAATTTGTTAATTAATTCTGTGCTAGCTTGTGATATTTCTGTCCACAGTTACTACTCACTAATTGATATTTAAGCCTTAGCAACTTACCTTTTTACATGGCTTTCTTTCCCTGAATAGATTATAAACATTTGAAGAAAGAAGCCTTAGCTTGATTTCTTCATATCTCTCCTAGCAACTTCTATCAAATTTAAATGAACATATATCATTTGGATTTTAATTGTAGCTAACTTCAGAGGATTAATAGGACTGTCTTGGAAGCTGATGCCCACACTAACTAGACCTTGTAAGTTCTCTGAGGGATATTTTTCTCCCTATTATAGTCCAAGACCATGGGAGTGGCTCAGTAATGCCAGCTCTTGGGCTGGGTTCACGTTTCAGAATGCACTGCTCTTAAATCATCAGTAAAGCCGTACCGTGATAGGGATGACCGTGTATCCTGATCTTCCTGGGACAGTCTTGATATTCCTGCTGTCCCATCATAATTATTTTCATCCATTTTTTTACTGTTGTGCTGGGGTACATTGTGGCATTTATAAAAGTTCTTACAACAACTGTGCCTCACACAGTCCAGTTTGGATGATAGATCACAAAGTTACCTAAGCCTGAAATCTAAGTAAATTCAGAGGCTACTTCCTTGATTCTTTTCTGTCTTTGACCTGCTCTGAGTGTTCCATTTTTTGGTTGTTTGTTTTTGTTATTTCTTTGTCTTCACTATTGAATCCTTTCAGGGTCCTCCTTACTCCCTTTGGATACAGTTAAGAGTTCCATCTTCGCAGTGATGCAGAAACACAGGTTTAATATAACTAAAATATTGGTTTCTCTTTATCTCTCATACAAGATGTGTCAATACCATTTTCTTTCCTGATATGAAATCTGTTTCCTACATTGTTGCTGGCATCCAAGCATTCTGAGTAGCACTGGAAAGCCCAAAGTCATGTCTGGAATGAAGCAAAAGAACACATTTAGGGAAGTTGCATAATATATTAAAACTCCAGTGCCTTGGGAAGTTGTGGCCAGACACAAGCCCAAAATAATAAACTGGCTTGTGTTGGAGGAAACCTATCAGTGATTAATTCTTAACTTATATACTTGCTAGAGGATAATGTATTATTAAAAAAAAATTCTTGTATTATCTTTATTGAAATTGAATCCCTCCTTTTAAAGATTACATTTATGACAAAAATCTAGTAATATTTTTCTCTCTGAGATATCCTCTTAGTCTCTCCCACTTTTTGTAACTTTTGTATTCTTGATTTTAAAATACAGCTCTCTTATTTTCTTCTGTAACCTTTTAGTGAATAATTCTCATACCACTATTGTCTGTTAGGAATCATACTTATTTCAGGTTTTAAAATTGACCCTTAGTTTTGATATAGTTAGATGTAAAAGTTTGTTTTTGTCTAATGAAATTTGACAATACTAAGGCTTTAACACATATTTCATTTCCCATGTACAATGGTGCAACTAATTATATTAGCAACAATAGAGGCAAAAGGTGTATTTTGAAACAGCATGCATGTACATGAACTTGCTAAAGACTAGTTATGAGGTATTTATAAACAAGTGAGAGATTGTAGTATTTAAAGGCCATCTCTTAGGCAATTCAAAGTAAAGGAAGACAGTTAGAAAGACCGTCCAAGAGGGGATAAGTTGTATCTCTTGGAAGATAACGCCAAGTGTAGGTCGCTGGAGGGCAAGACAGGCATTCTAGGCAGTGGGTAGCTTGAGCTGAGTCTTCCCAGTGGAAATTATCACAAATAAGAGACTGAGAGACAGGAACAGCTAAAAATGTGCTATAAATATTATGGTAAAAGCCAGAATGACATGGACCTGAAAACCTCTACCCAGGACTGAACAGGGAACAGATCAGAGAAGAGTTATTCTCACTGAAGCTTGGGAGAATGGCTGGGCCCAATACTAACCTGTTAGCTGCAGTGGTAATTCCCAGATACCCACAAGAAAAATCAGGGATCCCTGTAAGCTTCTACGGAAATTCCTTCCCACAATGTAATCTCAATAACATTTGTTAACAAATGGTATAAAACTGCTAATTTTTTTAGTTATTTCCTCTTAATTATAAAAGGGTAACATCACCACCTAAATCCAAACAGAATCTTACTAGATGAAAATCAGCATCACTAATAAAATATACACAAGCTAGCTTTGGCAAATTTTGAGCCTACTTAAACTTCATTTCATAGAATAAATTCTCCAGGAGATTATTCTCACAAGAGAATGTTTGAGTTGATTATGAATGGAATGGAACTTCTATTCTCGTGAGCATGAAGGGGAAGCCATTTTCTTGGAGAATTGCTTTGGTGAATTTTTTCATTAAGCAAAAGCTGCCTTTCCCTAGGGAGGTTTATTACTGCCTTTCCTTGTCTGCTTTGTATCCAGGTTGATGATCCAGGTAGCAGGGCAATGAGAAGGACTTTGAGTTACCTTCTTCTTCTAGGGGAAGGAATTAAAATCTCATTCCCTGGAATGCTTCCTGGAATTACATGTCAGTGAGCCCTGTGAAGGCAAAAGATAATGGTAGCTACATAGCTTGCTTTGGCTTCAGTAGATGAAGTAGCAGCTTGTGTCTGCAATTTGGAGAGCAGCTACCTAGAAAAGTGCTATATTGGTTGGTTGTGTGGCTCACAGCTATCATCCCAGCTACTTGGGAAGCAGAGATAGGAGGATCATGATTTGAGGCCAGGCCAAGCAAAAAATGTTATCGAGACCCTCTCTTTTAACCAGGTGTGATGGTTCACATCTGTAATGCCAGTTATATGGGAAGTAGAGGTAGGAGGATTGCAATCTGAGACTGCCCTGAGCAAAGAGCACAAGACCTTATCTGAAAAATAACTAAAGATAAAAGAGCTGGGGGCATGGATCAAGTGGAAGAACACATGCTTAGCTAGCACAAGGCCTTCAGATGAGAGAGAGAGAGAGAGACAGAGAGAAGAAGAAGAAGAAGAAGAAGAAGAAGAAGAAGAAGAAGAAGAAGAAGAAGAAGAAGAAGAAGAAGAAGAAGAAGAAAGAAGAAGAAGAAGAAGAAGAAGAAAAGTGCTGTGTTAATTTCTGAGGGTCACCATAACAAATTACCACTCACTGGTTCACTCAAGCAATAAATTCTATTGTCCCTCAGTTCTGAGAGCTGGTAGTTTGAGATCAAGGTGTCAGCAGCAGGTTGGTACCTTCTAATTCTTCTTCTTCTTCTTTTTTTTAATGGTAATGGGCTTTGAACTGAGGGCCTCACACTTGCTAGGCAGGTGCTCTACCACTTGAGCCACTCCGTGCCAGTCCAGGTTGGTTACTTCTGAGGGAGTGAGGGAGAATGTGTTCCATGCCTTTCCCCGGGCTTCTGGGTGTGTGCTGGCAATCCTTGGCATTCCTTAGCTTATAGATGACCTCTGCCTTCATTATCATGTGGCATTCTTCCTGTGTGCACCTCTAGGTCTAATTTCTCCTCTTTAGGAGGATTAAGAGCCTACCCTGCTGAGTATGACCTCATCTTCACTAATTATATCTACAATGACTCTATGTCCATGTAACATCACATTGTGAGGTACGAGAGTTTAGGACTCCAACGTGTGAATTTCAGCTCTTAACAAGCGCTCAACTCAGTATTTTCTCCCAATCCACCCTGCTTCCACAAACATGAAACATGCCTTCCCCAAGGCCAGAATGTGACATGCTCAGAGCTCCTTTGGGACTGTGGCAATCTAGCAGCTTGGCCTAGAGTCATCTGGCCCTCAAGCTTTGAGAAGATGGCCTCCTGGATTTGCACCAATGAGCTGCTTCTTCTCCCTTATGCTGGGCCCAGGGCGGCAGGCCCAGGCCAAGCAGGGTGTGTCTCAGCAACTGGTTTTCTCTGATTTGATAAGTGCTTACAGCCTAGGCCTTGTCTTCCTTTGCAGGCTGGATTTAAAGACATGCTAGGCCTCAAGGGAGGTATTTTACATACATAAATAATCCCTGCTTGCTTCCAGAGCCTGGTTTTAGTTAATTTCTCATTTCTTCATTCTCTTATTGATGATGTGTATGTTTATATAAAGGCTTCTCCTTCACAACCTAATTTTTCCGGTTGCTTGATTCCTGCAGTGAAGTCCTTAACCTCATGTTTGTTTGTCTTCTCCCAGCTTGTTGCCATGGGAATGAGTATAAAATGGCAAATTTCAATACTAACTTCAAAGAACCCTGAAAGAGATGGAGAAAATGGACAGAATAGAGTGTGTTTTAGTTGAACACACATCTCTGATTATTGTCAAGAGCACAGTAGAAGAAGGCTCAGCATAACAAAGGATGCATTGATGTTTAAGTATTTATTAAGTAATGTTAAGTATATGTCAAATGTTCTGGGTCTCCAAGGAATAATATGCATTAGAAACCCAGGACGGGCCTCGGAGAAGGATGCGTTATTGTGGTTCAGCAATCAAAGCATGCTTCATGCTGAAGAAAGGGCGTTCTTCAGGGGTCTGTGCAGAGGTTCAGTTGGTTCTGGAGGTGGTTGGCTAGTTTTCTGGGTCCCCTTAGTCCACATGAAGACATGCCTGATATCCTGGGAAAGCCGTAGCCTTAGTGCCAAAGTCACTTGAGGTTCATGAGGTGCTGGCCTCCTTAATAGACTGGTGACATTCTCTGTTGTTCCTAGGGAGTGGCATCACAAAGAGATCAAGGGAGAAAGACTTAAGTTTTTTATATTTCATGAGAAAATCTGTTTCTCATGAAATGTGATTAGATAACCCACATATTGTTTGGAAAACACAAGACTAGCATTCTGGTCAGACTTCCAGATGTCGCAGCACTGGAAGTAAAGTTGTCATTGCCTTCATTTTTACTCAGCTGCTGAGATGCTTGAGCCAGAGAAATCAGTCTATGACTACGTGTAGCTTTTAAAATAAAAACATGAATTTTCTGTTATAATTTAATTTTCTTGTTAATATCTTTCAGATAAAAATATATACTCTGGAAGAGAAAGATGTTTTATTCTTGTGGATTGAAAAACACGTGAAAAGCCCAGCATACTTGGCTTATCATCTCTTGTCTGACTATACGAAGCGGCCTTTGTGGGACCCCCATTACATGTAAGAACAAATTTAAAATGTTTTCTTAATCTCCCTTGACATCATGTGAAAGACACCCTCCACACTGTAGTCCATCTCCATTGCCCAATGTGTGATGATTTGTTTTATTAATTCAGGATAATTTTTAAAGCTTGCTTTGCATAGAATATTGTCAGGTGATTGAGAGATGCAAAACAGCTTATAGACTCATTAATTTGTCATCTATATTGAGTTGACATGCTTTGCCCCCACCTATTGTGATACTACAAGCAACTTCAAGGTTGATAGTATTCCTAGTTCTGAGACCTGATGAGGTTGCACAGGCAGCAAAGTGAAAGGATCCGCCTTGGAATCCAGCTCTGCCCGATCTAAAGTCCACACTCTAGTACTTCAATACACAATTCATTGCTTTTGAGGAAATAATTGCCCAGTGTCTTCCCACTCTTGATATTTAATTAGCACTCCCTTCTTTTTCTGTGAAGCCATACTCTCTGGCGAGAAGCTGCCAGAGCCAGCCATGAGTCCTGAAGGAAGGCATTCCTTCCTGCTCTGATTGTGGTCTGCCCCCATCAGTCTACCTTCTCTGACTCCTGCTACTTCCTGTCTCTTCATTCCTAATTCCATCTCCTCGAAGCTTCGCCTTTTCCTGGAATTGCATTGGCCCTCCATACTCATGGGTCCTACATCTGCATATTCAACTACCATTGATCAAAAATATTGAGAAGTACAGAATATGTGTCTGTGCTGAACACATACAGACTTTTTTCTTGACCTTATTCCCTGAACAGTACCAGAACTATTATATAAGCACTTTCATTGTTTGCCATCTAGCGATGATTTAAAGTACACAGGAGGATGTACGTCGGTCATGTACAAGTACTTTGCCACTTTATATAAGGAACTTGGGCAGCCACAGATTTTGGTGTTCAAGGGGGAGGGAAAGCTGGTCCCAGTTCCCCACAGACATGGAGGGATAGCTATACAGAGCTGTGCACCTTGTCAGCTGTCTTGGCAGTGACTAATACCATGTAATAGACAACTTAATAGCACAAAGTGAAACATCTCTGGGCCTGTGCTACATTGCATAGATGCCAGTGCTATTATAATAAAGTATTTTGAGAGAAGAGGGAACACTTTTCAATCTTCTTGCATCAGTAATTGTAGATATTATGTAAGTACAAAGCTCTTAAGAAGAAGAATGTCTAAAATTTGGTGTTAATTCTTTTAAAATGTTTCTCCCACAATTCTCTGTCACTTGACATTCCATTCAAGTTGAACTTGAATGAATGGAGGAATTAAGTCAACAATTTAATTCAACTAACTTTTCTTATATACCTTTTTATGATTTGGGTACTGCATTAAATGTTTTTCATTTAGTCCTCACAATACCCTGTAGGTGCTATTATTTACTTTTCATGGCTGAAATAATAAAATGACTTTCCTAATGTAATATGGCCAGTAGGTGGCAATCTGAGAGTCAAAGCTCTCAAATTTAAACCTGTTTCCAACATCCCACATTTCTTTACCAGAGTCCTCCTTGGTCTTCCCAATCTCCAAAATGTTTTACTTGATCCTAGAGAGAAACTATTTTGTGGAAAACAGCTTAGTTTTGAAGTATTGAGGGCAGTGAATTCAGAGTCAGATGGCAAACATTCTCTCCCTCACATGCAGAATTATTCCTTCTGACCAAACAGCTCATGCTAAAGGAAAACTTGGAGCAATGATGCTGGCTTGGGGCTTCAGGGGGATGGTCAGGTGAGCTGAAAGATGAATATAGGTAACAATAACAAAATTATACATGCAGATAAGGACAGTGAATGCCTTATTCTAGCAGGAAGAAAAGTTTGTCCTTTTTTCACCATTCTATTTACATAGATCCTGTGAAGTCATAGACCGGGTGAGTAATGATGATCATCTCTATCACATCATCTGTCCTAATGTGAATGGCAACAAACTCAAAGACTTTGTAGTACTTGTATCACGAAGAAAGCCTCTCAAAGATTGGTGAGTACATAGAGTTCAAGCACTACAGCAATATTTTATAGGATAGAATAGAAATGAAAAGTTGATGTGAAAGTAAGGAAGCCATTGTAGGTACTTCTGGTCTTGAATGATACTTATTTTATTTTTTTCCTAGGTGGATCTTTAGCTATTGTTTAAAAAATAAGAATAATGTATTAAGTGCCAAAAGTGTGTAAAGCACTACACAAAGGATGTAGTGCTCTATTTAGACATAAAACCGATATTTAGTAAACCTTTGAAACATTCCATTGTCAATATAAAGGCAGTGAAGGACACATGGAACACCAGAAGTTGTTTTTGAATTTACAAAGGCTGGTACATGGTAGACTCCAACATGTTGGCTGTCAGATGAGGCTGTGGATTGGAGGCATATATGTGTCCCTTCCATGTGCATTGGTCTGATCTGAGTATGGTGTCTAAGGGGTAGTGTCCCAAATAATCCCACCCATGGATATGGACTAATGTACACAGATGTTCAGTATGGTAGCATTTATTACATCTGAAGACATGAGAAAAAAGCTGAAGGTCCACCTTAAAAATTATGGTAAATCTATACTACAGAGCAGTATGCCACCACTAACAAGTGAAGTTGCTATAGAGGCAATAAATATCGAAAGACCTCTAAAGACTTAGTGTTAGGGGAAAAGTCAAATGGTAGACCATATTTGTAAAATATTTATGTAAAAATCCACATGTGTACATTTGCTTTTATGAAAATGATATTTTTGTACATTTATAGCAAAATCTAGAAAGTTACACAACAAGATGCTAAGAAGAGCAGTCATGTCTAAGGTGAGGAATAAGATTGGAGCTAACATGGACTGAACGAAGACTAATTTCTAACCCGTAGGGTTCTCTATTGTTTGAGGGTTTTTTTTTAAACCAATAGGTATTTTTTTTAACTAAACAAGAAAAGGATTCTGAAATGATAACCCTTTAGAGTACAATAAAACTTCATTTGGGGTTGGCTCCAGCTTTATGGCGTTATGCGAAGTACTTCTAATTGCTCGGCAGAAAACACTTGCAGCCCTCATTCCGGTTCCCTATGTTTGAGTGTAGCCCGAAGAAGGCTTTCTGATGGAGTCAGGTCTTCAGAGCCTCACTCCCACTTGCATGGTAGTCTGAGGATGAGGCTCAGTGGTAGAGCACTTGCCTACTGCATTTGAAGCCCTGGGTTAGACCCCAGCACTGCAAAGAAACAGACAAGCAAAAGTGGTATTGAGTGAAGGAATTTACTTTCTAACAAGTATGCTTCGTTTCTCGCAAAAGGTCAGAGCATGTTTCCTCACCTTCCAGTAACGCCTACGTGGTGGCTGTGACGTCAGTCATCCTGCCATTATTGCCCCCGTCTCCACAGTACATCAGAAGTGAAACAGTGTGTGCTGGGTTCCTCATCCAGGCTGTGGACAGCAATTCGTGCATGGTATGTTCGATGAAATATCTGCTCTACAAATATGGAAAAATCTCTTCATTTCCCCTCATCCCCTAGCTAACTGTAATCCTGTAATTTGTTACTCTCTAAGGGATTCCTGTCATCCTTTCAGATTCATTCCACAAAAGCTCCAGGTCATAACCACCCCTCACACCTCCCCTACACCAAGAAGATTCATACCCTTGCTTGAAAAAGCTACAAGCCAACAAAAAGTTAAAATGCTGTATTTTCTTTTTGAAACAGGTATCTTATCTTAGCCAGATGTCATCTAGTGTCCTTCCTTACTTTGCTGGAAATATTGGTGGCTGGTCAAAGTCCATTGAAGAGACAGCAGCTTCTTGTATACAATTCATAGAGAATGCTACTGATGATAGACTTCTAAGTGAAGTTTAAATGGTCATCCTTCAATTACCTATAATTTAATTTCTCACTTTTTACTTCCAAGCACCCTTAAGCCTGACATTTTGGCAGGTTTTGGAGTCACAAAATGGTACAATATTAGCCTAAGCAAAATGCAGTTAAGAGGAGGTTAAAAAAGAAACAAAATGCATCTCAAGTCTGATTCCAGTGATTTGGATTACCTTAAAAAGAGCTTTAAAATTCTGTCTTACATGATCCTTGGCTCTGCCTCTTCTAGGAGCACACATACTAGAAAATTGCCTGGATGCAATATTGCACATTCTGTAAAATGGTACAAATGTAGTTGAAATTAGCATAAACATTTGAAGTTACAGAGGTGCAATGTGTGTCCTGCTTGAAAGTTTATAAAATGTAAAATGATGACTTTATATAAGTGGATGAATGTATGGCCTTGTTCCATGTGTAGCAGGTGTCTATGTCAGGGATATCTGAGAAGATGTATTACATGTTTTAGAGCTTTAAATTAGGAAGGCATTAAAGTGTAATGCAATCCCATCAATTTTAGTAATAGGAACTACTTTACTAGTGTCATTGTACATATATTCCAGGTGGCTGGCCAATTTCTTATCTATTGCTACATATACACAAAGTACCTGCAAAATGTGATTGCAGAGAAAGAGAATATTAACTGAGGTCTTCCTTCATAATCATTACATTAGCACTTTTTTTATTCGTTGGATTTCAACATTCATTACTCTATGACATGTCCTAACTCATAAGACAAATCAGAATATGTCAAGTGAGCCTCCTCTAAAAGACAACTTTTAGAAGTTGAAGACTTCTCCATTAGAGTTTAGAGCACTTAACAGGTTAGATACCTCCTGCTGTTAGTTCATCAAATCTCTACCTCTGCTTCCCCCACTGCCCACTTCCCACTCATCCACTCACACAGTCTTGGGTTAGTTATGATTATTTTTGTCTGTGTCAAGAGGTCTTTCACATATATGGACTAAGACTGTGCTGCAATTTGAGTTAATATTTATATATAATGATAATTGCATCAACTAAAATGATTATTCATTATATGCCATATGTTAAAAGATTTTTGAGGATATTTTGGCATTTTATAAAGGTGGAAAATAGTAGTAAGTTATCATACTGAAATTTTGTTTGCTAAAATTTCAGAGTTCTACAATTACTATACTTCTAAAGACTGACAGTAGACAGTCTTTGAATTTATATTTTTTGAAACTTTTTGCTGAACAGGAATAGAAATGTTATGGGGCTAAGGGAGTGAAGTAACTGTAGCTGGATCACACTGACACAGAAAGATGCTGCCCGCTCTAATTTCCAGTGCCCTGCCTGATCCATGGGGAATGTGTTCCAAGACCCCAGGGGATACTTGAAACCACTGGCGGTACCAAACCCCGTACTGTTTTGTTCCTGCAGCATATACCATGATAAAACTTAACTGATAATTTAGGCACAGTAGGATATTAATAATAGTCACTAATAATAGAACCGTTGTAACAGCATATGGTAATAAAAGTTATATGAGTGTGGAGTCTGTCTCAAAAATACCTTACTGTGCCATCCTTTCCTTTTCTCCACTTGTGATGAGGTGAAATGATACAATGTCTATGTGATGAGACGAGCTGAGGTGAAGTGATGTAGATGTGTGACATAGGGTCAGCACCTTTGGCCTTCTTACGTGACCAGGCACACTGTAATACCATGGCAGGGCCATTAAGTGACTAATGAATGCATTGGTAGTAAAGACATCACAGCAGGACTGATTTCATCATACTACTCAGAATGGTGCACAATTTAAAACTTATAAATTGTTTATTTCTGGAATTTTCCACTTAATGTTTTCAGATAGCAATTGATCAGAAAGCCATGGAAAGCAAACTGGCAGATGGGGGAGGGGAGGACTGTGTAACATTGCATAATCTATACCTGTACACTTATCCTTCAAATTGACAGTCACTCACCATATGTGTTTGCTAAACTAAATGATTGCAATTAAATTTTAAAACTCAATTCCTCAGCCACACTAACCCCATTTCAAGTATAATTGTTTACATGTGGATAGTGACTGCTGTACTGGGCAGTACAGAGACATTTTCATCATCACAGAAGCATTAATCCATTCGACTTGCCCAATCTTATCATGCAGGCAAGTCCTGCTACTTTCCATTTTCACCTGTTCTCATATCAAACAATCCCTTCTAGCCCTCCTAAAAGATTTTACTTTTATACTTCTGAACAAAGACACAGGATCATCCATTTGTCTCCTTCATGGATCCTTCAGCACAGTCCAAGGTGTTCATTTTCAGGATTTCTTGTCTTTTCATCCTTTAAAGGACTTGATAGGGAAGCAGGGTGATGGAGAAAGAGTAAGTAGTAGAGGGGTAATCTGATTAAAGTACAACATATACATGTGTGAAATACCATGGCAAAACCCCACTTAACAATCAATATACACATGATAAAGGACGGATGAGAAGTTAAAACAGGTCCTGTCTGGGGCTGGGTACCGATGGGGGAGGAGAGGGTTTTCAGAGAGGGCAAAGGAGGGAGAATATGTACTTTGTTACCATGTATGAAAACTGAACAATGAGCCCTGTTAATTGTTCTAAGGATGGGAGGGGGGAATGAAGGGGAATGATCAAGGGGGTAAATCTAATTAAGATACATTGTAAACACATATGTAAATGTCACAATGAAACCCCCTTGTACAACTAATACATGCTAATAAAAATGTGAAAAATTGTTTTAATGACACAGGAGACTTCCAAAGTAGAGACTCAAAGACCCAGGGAAAACTGTATGTTTATGAATAGTCATTCAGAAGTATAATTGGAGGACAAAAGATATGACCTAACATAATAAACTGAAGGAAACTCAAAAAAAGTACATGGTAGAGGAAGAGATAGCAATGTGTCAGGCTGCACTTAGGGGACTTCAAAAATATGAAATATTGATGAATTAATACCACAATAACTGGAATAACTAAAGTATTCCAGTTGAAAAATTCAACAACTCTTTGGTTCACATTTCCTTTTATAATGGGAATCTATCTGGCCACTCTCACTTACTTAAAAATATTTTCCAAGAGCTTACTTGCTAGATACTTCTAGGTACTTCAGGCTCAGCAAGGAACAGGAATGTACTGATCACACCATTAAAAAATAATAAATAATAAGAAATCTTAGAAGATGTTTTATATGGAAAAGTAAATCCCTGTGAAGAAGAGTAGTAGAGAGGAGCTGGAGGTGGTTGTTGATATTTTAAATAGAGTAATCAGAGAAGGCTTAATTGAGGGACATTTGGCAAAAACCTGAAGGCAAAGGGAAAATGAGCCATGAGGATCAGTGGATATAGCATCAGTCCTGCCAAAGAACTAGCCCAGTCAAAGCCCCAGAGGGACAGAGTTTCTGTCACATCTTAGGAAAAACAGAGCGCTCATGAGACTATAATAGAATGAAATGTAACTAAAGACAGCTGAGTTAAAGACCCCCTTCCCTGACCCGCCTTGGTTCCTAGGCTTTAAGCAAATGTGATTGTTCCAAGAGTAAACAGCTAAGCTGGTTTATCAACAGTCAGCACCAGGAGGCTACACAGGAAACGGAAACACAGAGTGAGGCTTATATTTTCTTTTGGAATTTCAACGTATCTTTAAGGGACATGCAAGATTTCATGCACTTGTGGCAGGACTGAAAGCTTTTTGATTAAGAAAGGAGGGTCATCCCTGTTAATTCTTCTAGTTTGAATGCAACTGAGTTGCTGTCTGTATCCACTTTTTTCTATGTTCTTTGTTTCTAGAAAAAGAAATATGATAATCAGCATGTAGACTACCCTTGTACTCAAACACCTGTAGGAAATGAACAATTTTAATAAAAATTGAAATACACCAGAACATGTTTATACCATTGAATGGTTTTGCTCATATTTCTCATTGCCTATTTCAGAAATAACCTTGAAATTTTTTTAATGATACAGTTATAGAACAGTTTGAAAACATGTTGAAGAGTATGTTTTGTGGTTTGGAATAAAATGAGAACTAATAAGTTTGTTCATGAGTTACATCTCACATTTGAAAGTAATGGGTCCTGAGTGCTCTTGCATGTTCTTGCTACGTGTGCCAGATGGTGGGATTTATCCATCTCCTAATTCTGAACAGTAGGTCAAGATGACCACAGTGTGGCTTCAGTATACCCACTAGTTCTCTGAGTGGTGTAGGGAGGGTGGGAGGCTAGATTATTTGCTGTTGGCTATAGTGCTTGCTATTTGTTAAAAAAAAAAAAATTCTGGGTCCTGGGACCCTTACCTGTGGCACAAACCCACTATGTCTGTAGTATCCACCTGTGCCCATCCTGTCATCCTCAGGATCTTGGGAGCAAAATAAAGCAAAACAAAAATGCTAATACATATACTACTTGCTGTGTTGTGAGTAACACAGTCCTTTGTCTCTGAACCAAGAGTCTCATGTCTTCTGCCAACATCCTCAAAACAGTAAAAGGCAAACATATTAGTTAAAATGTATCACAAAGGAAAGCCACATCTCAAAATAGCCTGTAAAAGTCTGAATGATACGTTATATTTTTGTTCAGAAACCCTCTCTCAGTCCATGAACAGAGTGCACTTTTCTGACTCTTGTCTCTGGACTTCACCATATAATTTGCCAACAGAATGTTGCAGATGTGCGCCCAAAGGTTTGAAATGTGTTTTTGCAAATGACCCTGCCCTCTGCCATTTTTCACTACTGTAATAAAAACTTGCCAGGGTTAGCCTGCTGGTGTGTCAAGAAGAGGAGAGGAGATAAGAGGAAAGGGGTGGGGGGAGGGAGAAGGAGAGGAGAGGGAGAGAGAGAGAGAGACAGAATAGAGAATAAAGAATAGAGAATAGAATTGTTTCATCTCAGTTTGATCAACCAACCCCAAACCAAACTGCAGATGGATGCAGATAGGGCTGAGACTCACAGATCTGTCCAAGTGAGCCTAGCTAAGATTTCTGCTCCACAAGCAGGAGCTTTAACTAGATGCTCATTTTTTATGCTTCTGAGAGTCTGTGATTGTTACTCAGCAGAAACTAGGAGATACAGTTTCCAAGATGTGGCCCCTGTCAATTAGCTGACCTTCTTCCACTAATTTATTCTGTACTCTTTTTCCAGACATATGCGTTCTGCTGTTTTTCAAGTATACCAGGCATGCTCCTCCCTCAGTACAAGTACGCTTATCTATCTGTTCCCTCACCTCAGGATCTCCAAGGCTATTTCACCTTATGCGGGTCTTATTCAAAGGTCATCTTCTAAGAGACTTATCCGAGCCCTTAATTTAAATTGAAACTCCCTCTACACAAGAACAAGCATTCTACCCTCTAGATTTCATTTTCACTGCTTGTCAATGCCTAACGT